AAACCCCAAAAAAGATCCATCCAAAATTACAACTGGTTTTTTTTTTTTTTTTTTTTTTGTACCAGGGATTGAACTCGGGACCTTGCATTGTGAGGCAGGTGGCAGAACCATTGAGCTAAATCCCCAGCCCCTGTACCGACTTTTTTTTTTTTAAAGTATTGAGGATCGAACTTGGGTCCTTGTGCTTGTAAGGCAGGCAGCAGAATCACTGAGCTAAATCCCTGGCCCACCAACTGACTTTCGACAAAGATTCAAAAGTAATCCACTAGAGAGAGTCTTTTTGACAAATGAGGCTGCAGAAACTGAATATTCATGAACAAACATATGACGCTTGACCTAAATCTCATACGTTATACAAAAATTAATTCAAAATGGATCACTGATTTAGCATAAAAGAAGTTAAAACTATAAAACTTTTCAAAGAATATACAGTATAAGAGAAAATCTTAGGGACTTAGAGTTCTTAGACATGACACCAAAAACATACAGAAAAAAATTAGTAATCAGGACAACAAAAAGGTAGGAGACCTGAATTGTGATGACTCAAAAAAGAATGCTCAAGGACCAGGGATTTAGCTCAGTGGCACTGCGCCTGCCTGGCAAGAGCAAGGTCCTGAGTTCAATCTCTGATACCAAAAAGAAAGAAATAAAAAATTAAAGAATGTTCAAAATTTCATAGAGAAAAGCAGATGTCAATGAAAGTTAAAAAAAAAATCACGTGGACATTGACTTTTCTTCAATAACATGATATAGCACAGCATAACTGAGAGATGTGTGCAGCAGAGCTAAGGAAAAGGGACCTCGCCCATAAAAATTCTGAACTCATGCCCGAGGAAACAAAAAAGATACTCTGGATATAGTTAGAGTGATTCCAAGTTATGTAGCATCAAAGAAACATGAAGCAGAGCTGTATACTGCCTAAGTTTAAAAGAAAATAAAAACTAAAACAAGATCTGTGAATTTTTCCAGTAGGGCAAGGATGTTGGCCTCTGAAATTCCATCCCAACAGACTGGTGGAAGCAAAGTCCAATTCCTACAGAATAGATAGAACCAGGTAGCACCTCACAAGTCCTCGATCAAGAAGTTTATCACTGGACTGGGTTTTTAACTCAGTTGCACTGTATCTGCCTTGCAAGTGCAAGGTCCTGAGTTTGATCTCTGGTACAAAAAAAAAAAAGAAAAAAGGAAATTTATCATTGAAAAGATGACTAGAAACATAAGTATAAGGATAACAAAAAAAAAACATATTCATGATAGAATGATTGTAAACTTGAATAAAACCATTCCTAAAATAGATAATATAATTTGGTGTACATGCCTGGAATTCCAGTGTTCAGGAGGCTGAGACAGGAAAATTTCAGATTTGAGGCCAATTTGGGCTATACAGCCAGAATTTGTCTCAAAAATTTTTTAAAGCATTTAAAAAAAATTAATGTATTATTTAAATGAAACCCAGGAAAACCATGGTAAAGTAAGGTTATATGTATTAGAAATTTTTATCAGGAAGAGAAATATATTTGTTAAATAATATAGTAACTACTTCTAGGAAAGAATTAGGATATATAACCTCCAAGCTATTAAAAAGAAAAGGAAAAAAATCAAACAAAAATAACATTTGCATCTAAAATATTACAAGAGGGCTAGGGGTTCAGCTCAGTGGTTCCACCTTCTGCCTCTCAAGCGCAAAGGCCCAAGTTCGATGCGCTGTGCCAAAAAAAAAAAAAAAATCAAAATAGTTAAAATATTACAAGAGGTATAGAATACACTGTCAATCATAGTTGAATTTCAAGTGGTGTGATTATAGGAATTTCATTTTTACTAGAGTGTAAATGCTTTTATAGTAACTTCATCATATGAAAAAGTAAATTGAAGCTGGACATTGTGGCACATGCCTGCAATCCAGCACTCAAGAGGCTGAGGCAGGAGGAATGCCATTAGTTTGAAGCCAGGCTGGCAACAAGATCAGCCTGGACTACACAGCGAGACTTTGTCTCAAAAAACAAAAACAAACACAAAAACACCAAACAAACAAACAAACCAAACAAACCAAACAGGTCAAAAGCAAAGCAAATGTAAGTTAGAAAAATTATAGATCAAATCTTACTTACTTAATTTCACCATCTGATAAAGCCACAACTCTAGCTTCTTCAAGGTGAGGCCAATTAACAAAGACGGACTTTCCAAGCACTGATGAAGCTACATTTTCTATACTCTTAGAGAAAAACCAGAAAAGTTAATTCATATTTAGGTCCAAGAGAAAACTTTAAATAGCTAAAATTTTCCAACGTCTACCTAAGTGCCTCCCTTCTCCCAGCCCCAGTATTGGGGATTGAATCCACTGAGTGCTGACCTATATCTCCAGCGTTTAAAAAAAAAATTATTAGGGCCGTGGATTTAGCTCAGTGGTTCTGTACCTGCCTCCCAAGTGCAAGGTCCTGAGTTTGATATCTGGTAGCAAAACAAAAAAAAATTTATTCTGAGAGTCAGGCATAAGTGGCACATGCCTATAGTCCTGGCACTTGGGAGGCTGAGGCAGGTCAGTCACCAGTTCGAGGCCAGGCTAGGCTACATAGTGAGTTTAAGGCCAATTTAAACTACATGATGAGACCATCTCAAAAACCAAAGCAAAAAAAATTTTTGAGAGAGGATATCACTAAACTGTCCAGGCTATTCTCAAACTTGCAAACTTTAAGCCTCAGCCTCTTGCATAGCTAGGATAAGTGCTAATGCACTGGCTCCATTTAAAGTTTTATATTTGTGAAATGAACACGTTTGATTGGTTGTTACAGAATTTCACCTGCTAGCAACAAATTATGAGTCTACTAATTAGATTTGTAATTACTTTGCTTATTTTTCTCATGGTAACTAAGAAAAAGTAAAAATAATAACAAATGTCTAGAAAAGGGCTCTTGATTGTTTCATATTAATAGATACTTAGAATCTAAGAACTATAATCTAATTTTAGATTGTGGCAGGTAAATGAAAAAAGAACAGTAGAGTTGAAGTCAAGGGATACAGGTACAAATCTGGGCCTTTCAATCTTTCACTTACAGAATTTTAAGCAAATCCTTTAATCTGAGACTCACTTTTCTATCACAAGAAGGAATATCTCCCTTATAATGTTGGGAAGATAAAGTTAATAAAAGATTTTGTAAACTTAGAAAAGTTGTGTAAATATTCTGTGTACAGCATCTTAAATAAAAATTCTAGTTGCAAAAGGAAACATTCACTTTAATTTATACACAGTTTAGAGAATAAATTTTCATTCAGGTTTTATTATTTGTAATCTTTTTTGGTAAACTTTGTTTTGTTCTGTTTTTTTGAGACAGGATCTCACTATATTGTTCAGGCTGGCCTTGAACTCACTAGGTAGCCCAGACTAGCCTCAAAATCATGGTGATCCTCCTGTCTCAGCCTCCTGCATGCTGGGGCTACAGGCGTGTGCCACTACGCTTAATTTGGTAACTTTTTTGGTGGTATTTATACAGATTTTATTGGACATACAAAACAACAGAATACTAAGTATTCTGACAAATAAAACAACTTTCAACATTAGAACTAGGCTTCTTCAGGCTGGGAATTTAGCTCAGTGTTGCTGCCACCTGCCTCACAAGCAGAAGGTCTCATGTTTGATCCCAGGTACCAAAAAACAAAACAAAACAAAACAAAAATACAAAGACAACAAACAACAACAAAACAAAACCAAAAGAAAAAAAAAAAAAAACACCACCAAAAGTAGGCTTCTTCAAAAACCAGAAAGAAATTAGGCTTCCTCAATTACTCTTTTCCCTTTTATATATCTTTCTGATTTCATTTTTCCAAGTTTTCTTCTAATTTTTGAAAAAGTATACTCTTTCACTAGGTCAATCCTTTTATTTATGTTGTAGATGAAATCCTTTACTACTCCTATAAGATACTGTTATCATAAATATCCTTTCTTGATACAGTGGCTTTAAGACTTTCTTTTTCCATTAACTCAATTCCCTTCTTTGGTATAAATTTTGCCTGATGAGCTGTCTCTTCTCAGTTATGTTTCTAGTCCTCTTTTCCATAATAAACTTCTTGATCAAGAGCTTTAATTTGCTATCCTTACTTCCTATCTATCTAGTCCTAGGCTAGTCTCCCCCTACTCCACCCCTTAGTACTGAGGATTAACCCAGGGCCTCCACACCGAGCCACATCCTCAGCCCTTTTATTTTTCATTTTGAGACAAGGTCTTGCTAAGTTTCAGAGTTGCCCAGGCTGGGCTCCAGCTATTGATTTTCCCAGAGTGCTAGCTCTTAAGAGCTGGACTTCTGCTTCCACGAATTTACTGAAATAAAATTCTTCAGTCTCAACATCAACGCCCTAATGGACAAATTCACAGACTTCGTTTGAATTTTTGTTTTCCTTCAGACTTATGTAGCATACAACCTTTGTTCCAAGCTTCTGTGATACTACTTGACTTACAAAACATTCTTTTTTACTTCTGGCTCCACTGTGTCACTTTTACTGGCTCCTTTTACGCCTTTTGTAATTGTGGGTAATTCTTTATGTTGAGATCATGAACTATCAGTGTATCCTTTTTTTTTTTCAGGGAAGTGAGCTTCAAGCCTTCAGTTGTCCATTTTCTGTAGACAACTTGTATAACTCTTATCTCTCTCTAAGCTCTACATAGCTCCAGGTATTAAATGTAAAATATGCAGTCTTTCTGAACTAAGTTTTTGTTTTTTTGGGGGACAGGGTCTCACTCTGTACTCCAAACTGGCTAGCACTGAACTATGCAGCCAGGCTGGCCTCAAGCTCAAGGTGATCAATCCTGCCTCAGCATCCCAAGTGTTACAGGCATGCATTACTATGCCTGGCTTTAAACTGAGTTTTTTATCTGAATTATAGGACACAATAAAATAATTAGAATATTTTCTTAATTCTAAAGATGGACCTGGAACTAATATCATTCGAAATGCACAGAAGATGAGCTAATTTATTACATACAATGAATGCCTTAGGACATTAGGCTTATATCTCTTGTGGAACACTGGTTAAGAAAAGGTGATAGAGAAGCTTTAGTTAAACATCTTAGTACCTTCTTAAATTTCCACCATTAACTATCAGCAACTTCTCTATTTTAACTTTTATAGTCCAATAAATGGAGTTCTTTTCTAGATAATTAGCCTAGACACCTCAGTCATATTTACTATTTTCTTTTTTTCACCCCTTATATTTGAATAAATAATAAAATGTGCCAATTTCATTTAATCATATTCATTAGATCTACTGTCACTTCTACCGTTTATGCTCTTATCAACTAATGCCACAAAGGAGGAACTTGCGGCTTTCCCTTTTTAAAAAAATTTCTCTTGTGAAATGATACTGCAACCAAATTACCTCTATAAAAATAATGATTTCAAAATAGTAGTCATGTGAACCATAGCATGCTATATCTTTTTGGTAAACACTTCATCAGCTAGAAAAAGCTTTTACATAATAAACACCTGATAAATGACTAATGAATAAAGTACTTACAAGTTCATCTGATTTTGCATTCACTAAGATTTCCAACATCATGTTTTCTCCACGACTGCTTTGCTGAAATACTTGAACACCACTTTTCTTCAAAAAAAACTTTAAAAGAATTTTAAAAATTTTAATGTTAATTATTTTACTTTGTATAATTACTTCATACAACAAAGTCAAAAAATATGAATTAAATTATCACTGACTTTATGTTTGATGTGTTTCAGAGTAGGGAATCCACAGAAATATAATGCCTTCTGGTCAACTCTGGTTATTTTGTTCTTATTTATATCTACATGCCAAGCATCTAGTGATATTATTTTGAACCTAGGAAGTAAATCAGTGTGTTTAAAATTCAAACATTATATGCAGAGTTTTTCAACTTTCCCTTAATTACTTCATAAGACTGTTCTTTGCTTTTAAAAAGGGGAATAGAAACTTTTCCTTTAAGACAAAATACTGAGCAGAACAACCAAGCTTCTCTTTTGTTACTGGTCCAGAAAAATCTATACCTGTAGATTACTAAGTAGTGGTTTTCTCCTTTAATTTAAAACAAAATTATATACAATTATTCTTTAAAATAAAGAAAATTATAAAGCATAATATGAATCTCAATATTATCATGTTCCAAAGCTCAAGATGAAAAATTAACATTTTGTAATCTATTTCGTCTTTTCCTTTAACAAAAGGAAATATTATAAGTGAAAGATATTCACTATACTAGCAAATCAATTGCTGTCTAGACAGATCATTTGCAAGATTACAGAAAAACCAACAATGACATTTTAATGAAGAAAGAAAAATAGATAAAAGGGGTTCTTTTTTATATATATATTTCCTGGTACCAGGAATTGAACCCAGGACCTTGTGCTGACCTTGTGCTTGTGAGGCAGGTGTGGCATCACTGAGCTAAATCCCAGCCCTTAAAGCATATTTTACAATGCTAACATTATTTAATACTGACAATGAAAACAAAAATTAAGAGACAAATATTCAAAACAAAAATCCTCTAAAGAAGACAGAGGACAGATATATTTCCTGGTACCAGGAATTGAACCCAGGACCTTGTGCTGACCTTGTGCTTGTGAGGCAGGTGTGGCATCACTGAGCTAAATCCCAGCCCTTAAAGCATATTTTACAATGCTAACATTATTTAATACTGACAATGAAAACAAAAATTAAGAGACAAATATTCAAAACAAAAATCCTCTAAAGAAGACAGAGGACAGAGATACATTCTAGAGAGAAAAAAATACAAAACTTTAACAAAAGGAAAGAGATATATAATCTGACCACAGTGGACAATTATAGGAAAAAGTGTGATAGATTTTATAATCCTTGGCAAATTGGACTTAACTCATCATGTTTTTGTTTTCTTTTCGGATACAGTATACCACTATGTTGCCCAGGCTAATCTTGAACTACTGGGTTATTTTTTTTTTGAGCCAAGATCTTCCTATGCAGTTCAGGATGGCCTTGAACTCTTGGCAATCCTCCTGCCTCAGACTCCCAAGGGCTCAGTTATAGGTATGTGGCACCACACCCAGCTGAACTGCTACTTTTAAGTGCACACCACCTCAGCCTCCCCAGTACCTGGGACAATAAGCTCAAGCCACTGTACCTGGCTCATTATCAACTTACTACCATCAACTTACTGATAATTCTCCAAGTAGATATTAAAGCTATTTTGGTGTCAGGGCTTGTTTGTTGTTGAAAAACTATCAAATAATCTTACCTTGCATGGCATCGTTCTATGGCAGGGAACTTTTCTGGCCATGGAGAAGGGTAGGTGAACTCTGTGTCTTTATCATACCAGCACATCAGGCACTCACTATGTCGGTTTCTTTTCCTCTCTTCCTCTTTGAGGGAGTGGTTACATGTCTCCATGGCTTCCAACAATCGCTTCTGAATGTAAAGAATGAAGAGAAGGGTTAAAATTACAGAAATTCACACAGGTCAACACACAGAATAAGTCTTTTTGCTTCATAGCAGAATTACTACTTATGCTCTTGAAAAAAATCTTAACTACTGAAAATTCTTCTCCATTTTATTACGTGAAAAAGTAATACTCTTCACTGCTTCATAGGAACACTGTTGCTTATGCTGTTATAGGCAAATTCCTGTGATGTTATTATTCCAACAGTAGCCACTTAAGTACAGATTAAAAAGAAGTTTAATATCAAATTTTATTTTATATTTTGTAGAACAAAAAAATGGCCTTGTACATTCTAGGCATGAGCCCTACCACTGAGCTACATTCCCAGCCTAAGATTGAAGTTTTAATGTGAATTTATCATAAGTATTGTATCATAATTAATAGCAACAAATACGAACCAAGATGGATTATGTAAAGGTGCAAATTTTCAACAATTAATGTTATTATATTGTATACCTTAAATATACCATAAAATTAAATTAAAAAATAATTATATAGTATCAATCTCTTTATAAGCTCTTCAGTGGTAGAGTTATATCTGTTTTTCCAAATTAACTTACACATTTAACATAATTCTGATCAAAATGAACAAAATGGTATCAGTGTTCATTTCCTATGGGCTGGGCATAATGATATACACCTGTAACTCTAGCACTTGGGAGGCTGAGTCAGGAGTATCACTGTGAGTTCAAGGCCAGCCTGAATTCTGTCTCAAAAAACAAAAACAGTGAAATAATGGAAGAATGAATGTAGAAATGGAAAATGGGAATTTGGGACAGTCCTTACAGATCCTATTACTTTTGATAAAGTGATTATAATAAAAATATTTTATTATTTGGTTGTTATTTTGTTTTTTTGAGACAGGGTATAGTAGACTATGTAGTGAAGGCTGACTTCAAACTTGCAACAATCTTCCTGACTCAGTCTCCCAAGTACTGGAATCACAGGCACATACCAATATGCTCAGAAGACACTTTACTGTTGTCAGTATAAGGGACCCAGGGACTAGAACAACAGAATAAAGTTAAAAATATATTTTTAAGCCAGGCGAGGTGGCACATGCCTGTAATCCCAGCACTTGGGAGGCTGAAGCAGGAGGATCGCTGTGAGTTGGAGACCAGCCTGGGCTACACAGTGAGTTCCAGGTCAGTCTCAACATAGTGAGACCCTGTCTCAAAAAACAAAACAACAACAACAACAACAAAAAATATATATATATTTTAAATAAATATATTTTAAAACTTAGTAACTCAGATACTTATGTAATAAGGTTATCATTGGTATTAAGTAACTATACAGATGTAAAAAAAAAGATACAAACACACATAAAAGTAACAGAAGAAAATCTAGGAGAGTACTGAGGATTTTTTTTTTTCTGGTGGTACCGGGGATTGAAGCCAGGGCCTCTGCACTGAGCCTTCAAAAAATGGTAAAGGAAAAACAGGTTACCTACATGCACACACACATACACACACACACACACACACACACACACACATTGGACCCGTATCTTATATCATCTACAGAAAATCAACTCAAAATGAATTAAAGATATATGTATCTAGGACGTGAGTCTGTAAAACAACTAGAGGAAAACTTAAGGAAAAGCCTTCCTCATAAGAGTCTGGGTAATGATTTTGGATATGACTAGGAACAAGCTACAAAAGCAAAGGAGACTGCATCAATCTGAAAATCTCTGCACAATAACAGAGTGAAGAGACAATCTAGGGAATGAGAGAGAATACTTGCAAACTTTATGTCATTTAAGGGGTAATATCCAAAATGTATAATAAACTCAGTATAAACACATGTCACATTCTTAGCTACCTGATTTAAAAATGGGCAAAGGAAGCCAGGTGTGGTAGTGTATGCCTGTAATCCCAGCACTCAGGAGGCTGAGGCACGAGGATTGCTGTGAGTTCAAGACCAGCCTGGGCTACACAGTGAGTTCCAGGTTAGTCTCAACTACATAGTGAGACCCTGTCTCAAAAAAAAAAAAAAGGACAAAGGGGCTGGGAGTTTGGCTCAGTGGTTCTGCTGCCTGCTTCGCAAGCGCAAGGTCCTGAGTTCAATCCCCGGTACCAAAAATAAGAAATAAAAATAAAAATGGTCAAAGCTCCTGAATGGACATGGCTGGTGGTATAATTCAGTTGTACAGTGTTTGCTTAGTATATGTGAGACTTTTTAGGTTTGATTCCTAGCAATGCCAAAAAAGTAAAAAGATCCAAATGGCCAGCAGTTATATGAAAAAATGCCCAATATTATTAATCATTAGAAAAATACTTCTCACTCCCGTTAGAATGTATATTATCTTTTAAAAACCCCTAAAGTCAATTATTGGTGAGGACATGGAGGAAAGAGAACACTGGACACTGTTGCTGGGAATGTACGTTAGTGGGAATGGAAAATAGTATGGAGTTTACTAAAAAAGTTAAATAGAACTACAGATTAATCTTGCAATCCCACTATAGGGTAAATATCCAAAGGGAATAAAATCAGCATGTAGAAGACATGCATCCCCCTGTTCACTGCAGCACTATATCCATAAGAGGAACTTGATAGTTGTTGCTAATCAGCTGAATTTCAGAATTACTATAGATCACTGATCATTATGTATTTCCTATTCCTATTCTTTTTGACGAGTGACTTATTGTGATTATATACTGAGAATGAGGGCTAGGAAACAACTTGTTTAATTCTTTGGTCTCTGAATCAAGAGAACTTTACCCAAGGAGGTGCATTTGAGGAACCTCATCCATCTGGACCCAATTTAAAGATGAGATTCTGGACTTTGAGCTTGTTAATGTTATGATGAAATGAGATTTGTGGGATACATCGGGTGTTTATTATTTGGATAAGATATGAATTAAGTCAAAAGGTAGAATGTAATAGATAGTCTGCAATAATGCCAACAATGGCTATAATAATTCCTCCTACTCTAGCATTTGAGAAGAAGCCTATTTCCTTATTCCTTAAATTGCCTTCCGTCCTTTCCTTCTTTTCTTTTCTTCCCCTTCCCTTGCCTTTCTGGTTTTTGAGACAGGATCTTGCTATGTAGTCCAGGCTGGCCTCGAACTCAAAGCAGTTTTCTTGCTTCAATCTCCCAAGTGCTGGGATGTGTCACCATGCCTGGCTTGAGTTGCTTCATTTAAAACAGTACAATGAAAGTGATGCTATGCAACCTCCAAAATTCAAGAGGACTTACAACTTCTGTTCTATCTTTCTTAGAATTCAAGGACACTGTGAAAATTAAATCTCGATTAGCCTCCTTGAAGGTGAGGGATGATATACAAAGAGGCCTCAGTTACCAACACTAACCACCAATTATTACATTTTCATGGACACACAACAGTTTTATTGTAACAAAGCAACTTGAACATTTTGAATGTATAAAACTGTGCATCACCTTTTCCTTTCTAATGAAAACAAAAAGAATTTAAAAATAAACCAACAAAATTACAGTAGAGAATGTCAATTCCAAATAAGACTTTCTAGGTTCTGCTGATTCTCCCATGGAGTGGCAGGGCTCAAGTCATCATTAGGAGACAATTTTACTTTAAGAGTGTTACCTTAGACTGCAAGGATATCCACTAACACCAAAATTAAACATGCCAAAGGAAAAGCCACGTTAGGCTGGGGATTTAACTCAGTGGTTCCGCTGTGTGCCTTGCAAGTGCAAGGTCCTGAACTTGATCCCTGGTACCCGCCCCCGACAAAAAAGGAGAAGCCATGTTGTCAAATGCCTGCTTAACACACCCAAACCCACCCTTTGCTGATCTTCTATACCCCATTTTTAAAAGTTTTTTTTCTCCTTTTTTTTAAACAAGACAAACTAGACAGGCACATGTTGGTAAATGCTAAGTTTCCATAGCCACATAGACACAATAAAATTTCTGAGCCCAATATATAGAGAAAGGAGGAAAAAGCTGGGGGTAGTGGTGCACACCTGTAATCCCAGCACTCGGGAGGCTGAGGCAGGAGAATTGCTGTGAGTTCGAGACCAGCCTGAGCTACAGAGTTGAGTTCCAGAGCAGTCTGAACTACATAGTGAGACCCTGTCTCAAACAACCCCCGCCCCAAAAAAAGAGGAAAAAAAGCTAAAATTGTATGCACTACTACATAGGGGCCTAGCACCATCCCACCTCCAGCAGAGCGAAGGGAGTGGAAGGGCCAACCACCAATTATATGAGAGTAGCCATCTCAGACAACTAGCTTCAGCTGAATCAAAGATGACTGCAATACATCTCATCTGGATGTGGTGATAGACACCAGTAATCCCAGCACTCAGGAGGCTAGGCTAGCCAGAGCCACATAGCGACAACCTGTCTCAAAAAAAAAGGAGGGTGGGGTGGGGATTTAGCTCAGTGGTGTTGTGCCTGCCTTGCAGGCGCCAGTACTGGAAAAAAGCAAAAAAGGAATTCTGTCCAATATTTGAGGGACCTCATGTGTGATCAACAACAAAAAACAACCAGTGGAGTTCAGCCCAAATTGTTGATCTACAAAACTATAAGCAAATAAAATGACTTTAAACCACACCCACCTCCCATCCCTTCAAACCTCCTTGTCCTGACACATCAGTTACAATACTGTAAGACAAAAGATATAGATAGGAAAGGAAATCTGACAAATGTTCAAGCTGAATAGGATGTGTATGTATGTGTGCAGAGTCAAGAAAATCACACCTACAGGCAAGCACCCTCTGCTACAAGGATCAGATATTGAGCAATAACGCTCCAAGAGACAAAAACAGATCTTGTGAGACATGTAACCCCAGCACTTGGGAGGCTGAGATAGAAGGATTGCCATGAATTTGAGGCCACCCTGAACTACATAAAAAGACCGTGTCTCAAACAAAGAAACAAAGAAGCAAGTAAGCAGGCAAACAACGAACCACCCATAGGACTTATCAGTCCTTCAGTTCTAAAAATTCTATCCTGTGTTCCAATTTGGCAGTTTCTACCACTTTACTTAAAAAGGACATGTACTGTGTAGTTGAACAGTGTTGTGATATTAATAAAGTTGAGTGGGTTTTAAGCATAATTCAAATCTTCTATTTTTACTTATTCTCTGTGTTGTGCTAGCAGTTCATTAAAGAACCTGAAATTTCTAACTAAAAGTACAGATTTGTCTATTCTTCCGTCAATTCTGGACATTGTCTCATGTATTTGAAGCTCTGTTGTTAGGTGCATATACATATAGAATTTTAATGTCTTTTTGTTGTTGTTGCAGTGCTGGGGATCAAACATGGCCCTGCTCATGTTTGCTCTGCAACTCAGCTTTCCTCGGCTCCAATTTCTTCTCAATGATCTGACTTGATTCTTTTATCATGACATGTTCCTCTTTATCTCTGGTAATACTCCTTGTTCTGAAGTCTAAATAGTTTGCTAAACATTACTAAAACCATCTAGCTTTATAATTAGCACACCTAAAAATTTTGATGCATACAACAGAATAGCTAAATGTTATTAACACGTCATAATGGTGATTACATTGATTGTGAAATAATCTTTGATGAACAATATATGAATACATATATATATATATATATATATGTATATGTATATAACTATATGCACCAACCTCATCAATAAAAGGTATTAATACAACAGCTTCCCATTCCTGTTGTTTTCCATTTAGATCTGTTTTAAAATCAAGTGGATAATACTCTATAATTGGTGAGTCTTCACTGGTCATCAAATGCTGTGAAAATATAAAATAGTATAATAGAAATATAAAAACAGATATCATAATAGCTTCTTATTGATGTTATTTATATTTCCTTGTTATACTTTAAAATTTCTAAATAACAAATTTTTGTATTTTAGATATGTTGCAACATACATGCTGTATTTTTATTTTCAACTGTAAGAATTTTCATTGCTACTTTTCAGTTTCATTAACCTAGTTATGTAGCAAAATTACCTTTATGCTGAACATTAATTCTGTCACTTTTTTTTTGTTGTTGTCTTTTTACTCTAGAGATACTTAAATACTATTTTCTTTTTCACATCTTTGGTTAATTTCACAAATGTATAATAGTCTGCCCTTTAAACCTCAAATTAACAACTTACCTTCATGAACCAATAGTCTAAAGCACTATACGACTCATATCAAAGAGAAAGAGTCCAACAACACACATTTTTATTGGAGATTTTGTAGCAGGTAGACAGAAAGAAGGCAAAAGGAAATGATGGAATATTATGATATAACATACAAAACAGCATATTCCTAGGGTGATACTCAAAAATTTAACAACATATGGCATGTGCTCTAAACAAATAAAACATACGTAGTTGTAATATATGTACACAGCTATACTGGCCCATAGTACTGAATATCAAAGTTCAATATATTTGAAAGAAGAAAAAAAGTATTAAAGAAACTTATGAAAAATGACAAGCTAGAGGTTAAGATAAAGGATCTTTTAAGGTTCAGAAACACATAGAGAAAAGCCTGACAATGTTAACGCAGCAAAGGGGTGTGTGAGTGAGTGAGAGAGAGAGAGAGAGAGCGTGTGTGTGTGTGTGTGTGTGCATGTGCATGCACATGCAAGTCTATTCCAATTCCTGGAATCAGACCATAGAATCAGAAGAACACATTGATATCTTAGAACTAAATTAAGTTTACTTTCATAATCTATTTAATAGGTTTAGTATAATTTTGGTGACTCTGTCTTCTCTTACGTGAAGTATCTCAGCAAAAGAGAGCCTTTCAATTTGATAAATGAAATGCTTAAATTCAAATATATATTGAGGTGATACTGAGATTAAGATAAATAACTTATTAGAATCATTTCTAGTCTAATAGGTAGAGGGTAAAAGAGAACAGGAATGAATGTGCAATTGTGTGGACAGAAGAGATGACTTTCAGCTTTATCTGTTTAGTGTACCTTCTTCAATGTATAGACAAATTAAAGATGCTCTGAAGGCTTATTAAGTTTGCCTGCATTTTTAAAACAAAGCCAAGTTTAAATCAAGGAATTACTTTTCATGGGCCTTGTTAAAAAATGTAGTGTATTTAAAATTGAAAATAAATGTGTCTAGCAAATAAATTTAGTTACTATTGTTTCTAGGTTTGGACAAAAAACTCATATATCAGAAAGGATATAAAAACATTCACTTCTAAAAAAGAAAATTCGGTTCTAAAACCCACCTGGTAGCACGCAGGAAGCAAATTTTTGCTAGCTGCTGGAAGTACAGCAAGAAGCTGCTCAAATGGCTTAAAAGGTTTTCCCAGTTCAAAATGGATTTTGAGTGTACTGATGTTTCGGATATCAGACAGGAAAGGTGCATAATGATAGGGATAATACCTATAAAACAAAATAAGTATTAGACAACTGGTAACTTTCATGAAACAAGTCTATACTAGTTTTTCTATATTTCACGCACATAACAATTTTAAAGAAAAATTAAGCATTACCCATAATTCTATCATTTGAATATAAGAAATTAGCAGTATTTAAAATATGCATCCATAATGGAAACCAACACAATATTTTCTTAATTTTTAAAGTGCAGTTTCACATTTCTAAAATTGGATGTAGGCCATTGTATTCTCATTTCCTCGGTGGCCTGCCCTCACTATAGGGTGTACAGTACTTCTCTTCCTACTTTTACTTGGCCTAAACTTGCTCTACAGAGCCTGTTTCTTTTCCTACCTTTAATAAAACTTCACTACCTTTAAAAAATAAACAAACCCAAAAAATCAAACTGGATGTATCAAGTAATTACAGGATAAATATAATGCTCTTTTGTCTTGTTTTTGAGATGTGATCAGGGGCTTCTTGCTAAATTGCCCAGGCTAGTCTCAAATTCTTGGTCTCAAGAGATCCTCCTGCCTCAGCCTCACATCTCCTTCTGGGGATTATAGGCACATGCCACTAAGCCCAGCTTTGGTGCATTTTTTTTTCCTTTTGTGGTCCTGGAAATGAATTCCAGCGTGCTAGGCAAGCAGTCTAACAGTATGCTATACCCTCAGCCGTGTATTGTTTTTAATAACTTCCAAAACACTGACGGCTAATCTTTTAATCAGGTGCCTGGATAGTAATAAGGTAGACAGAGGAATTTCAGTCTAGGCATTTGGCCCTAAAATCTCCAAGTAAAGGGCTTGGAGCACCTGAATATTGTGAGAAAAGCTAGAGTTAGCTCATAAGGATAGAGTGAAGAACAAAGAACACTAAGTTTGAATTTATATGACTATTACCAGTCAGTTGTAGATTTCTCTCTTTGAATTAGTGTGCATATTATTACATTGATAATAAAGATTAAATCATGTCTTAATCATACACACTAATTTGTTTTAATACATTCCCATCTATGGCTGTAGGCATAAATATTTTCAAAAAACTTTGAACTCACAATTTAAAAATTTTTCACTATGTTCTAAGTGTTTGCTCAGGATAAAAAAAAAAGGGAATGATTTTATATTCCATAATTATGGCTAGGGATGTAGCTCAGTGGTTCTGCCACCTGACTCACAAGCACAAGGTCCCGAGTTCAATCCACAGTACCAAAAAAACCAAAACAAAACAAAACAAAAAAAACCCACTATATTCCGTAATTATGGCATAAATTTCAAAAGGATGGGAAAGTTTAGGAGGCAGAATGGTATGAGGAACATTGTAAGATAGACTTTGGCTTAATCGCGATTCTTGGGTATACAGTCACAGGAAGTTTCCTTAACCTTTATAAGCCTTAATTTATTCATTTGTATCAGAGAGAAAACAGTGTTTACTTTAAATACTTTTGAAGATTATATGAGAACATGCATTTAAGGCCCCGGCCTTAATGCCTGGTAATACAACAGGAATTACTTATGTTAACTCTCTTAAAAAATGGCAAATCAGAGATTATTTTATTAGATTGTTTTCCAAAGGGCCTAGATAATCTGGCTAGTAACTATAAAAATCTTTTTTAAAAGGCTGCTAGTGAAGTCATAATTAATGCCACATCACTTTGTACTAGTTTATATTGCTGCATAGTGTTCTAAAAATGGAGCCCAGCAGGAGTGTTTTGTAATCATTATGTCATCACTTAAGTCTCTACTCTTTACAATATGATTTTTTAAAATTGTCATTTTATTTTGGTAGCTGGTTTGAAAATTTAGATAGAATCTGCTGGAGCATGGAGCATGAGAAAAATGGCAAATTATTACCATTTCCAGTAAAAGTAACTTTTCTCCTTCCTTCTTCACTCTAACAAATATTCATTCTTTAAAGATTACTCTTGTTGGAATATTTTTCAAACACAAAAATGTAGAAAATATAAGCAATACCTCCATACAACTATCATTCAGTCCCAAGAGTTATAAAGACTTTGTCATATTTGATTAATTTTTGTCTTTGTTTTGTTTTTTATGATGCTAGGGATGAAACCCAGGGCCTCTTGCATGCTAACACTGAGCTTCATCCTCAGCCCTAATTTATCTCCATAGAGAATTTTATGTCCTTAGAGTAACACAGACCTTTTATAATGCATCATTTGCTAGGGATAAGGTTTTCTTAGAAAAGTGTCTTAAACTATTTTCATTTAAGAACAGATTATCTATATTTCATTTAAACTTGATGTATAGATCATTTATTGATTGATTGATTGATTGATTGGTACCGGGGATCAAACTCGTTTCCTTGCGTTCGTGAGGTGGGCACTGGCACCACTTAGCTAAATCCCCAGCCCACATATAGATTTTTTAAAAATTCCCATAAATAAAAATAAAAGGAAAGAAAAGAGATATCTGAATGAGATTTCTGTAGATTCAACCATTATACAAAGATATGCTCTTACCAACTCCAGGACTGAACACCATGATAGTAATAGTGCAAAATCCACTGTATTGCTTGAATATAACATACAGCTTGATCAGCCAGAAAGTCACTGAAAATATAAGTATTTTCATTACAACATTGTTTCTTGAAGTTAGGCCAATGTCTTTAGAACATATCTAGCTATATCATATTTTATCTCACATTGTTTAATCAATAAATTAGCTAAAAATTATATAATTTCTGAGAATTATAATCAGAAAAACTCCTCAATATTTTAAAATTCCATCTTCTCACATGAAAGGTTTGCCTTATAGTGTTCCTAAATTAAGTATCAACAGAGAGTTAAGCCTGCTGTCCTTTCTTTCTCCCTCTCTCTCTCTCCTACCTCTCTTTAGTACTGGAAATTGAACTCAGGAGTATTTTACCATTGAGCTACATCCACTTTTTTTCTTTTTCGTTTTTAATTTTGAACGGTCTGGCTAAGTTGTCCAGTCTCTGGGTTTGAACTTCACTGTGAAGCTTCTGCCTCAGCCTCTCTAGTAGCTGGGAATACAGGTGTGTGCCATCACACCTGGCCTGCTGTGCATAGTTAACCAGTCAATATATTATATCTTTGGTTTAAAGTTTGAAGATTTAGCCAATGCAGCTTTCAATAAAGTGATGCTAACACTTTGTTAAATAGTGGGGATAGGACGAGAGCAAACCAGAATGTTCTTAGAAGTCTCTGTATAGCAGCTAGGCTGTCCTTTGAAAAGTGCCATATCTGCTGAACAGGATTTTCTTCTAATCCTCTGTCAAAATCCCAATGCCATCATTTAAGATTTGGGTAAAATAAATCTTCAAATTACCAAAACTAAATAAAACAAAATAAGCTCCAGCCTACTGCCAAAAGTAGTCATTTACAAATTCCTTATTTCCATATTTCTGGGTGGGTATTACTGTCTTACTATAAAATAAGAGTTTCTCTATTACTAAACCTAGATATCAAAGAAAAGAGTGTTTTAGCACCTTATAGCAATCACTCTTCATTTGGCATGTTTCTGTTTAGTCTTTGGTTTTGTCTGTTTCTTTTTTCTTTTTTAGCCTAAGCTGATCTTGAACTTCTGACTCAAGCCATCCTTTTATCTTTCTACTTCAGCCTTGTAAGTAGCAGGTGCACACTACCACACTGGCTTCGTTCTTTTTTCTATACTCAGGTTGGTTTTGTTAAAGTAGTAATTAGAGTGTACAATAGATATATATGATTTTATGTCCTGACTTTAAAATTTGTGTATCTTTCCAAATTGTTATGAACTTTCTGTAATTACCAGTTTAGCAGTTCTGTAGACTTGGTAAAAGATGTGATGACATCTTTATCTTAGATGACAGAGATGGAATCTGTTTTTTTTTTTTGGTACCAGGGATCAAACTCAGGACCTTGCACTTGCAAGGCAAGCGGCATAACTACTGAGCTAAATCCCCAGCCCAGAGATGGTAACTGTGATGATGAGGCAGAGGTTGATTATGATGAATTCTCTTATCAGACATTTAAATTATTTCTATTTTTTTACTATTTTAAATAACTTTGTAATAAACATCCTTGTATTTAAGGACAAATTTTCTATTTGGGAATGTTTATCATAGGAATATAACATGTCAGAATTAATATCACCTGTTTCAAAACTATATCATACTAGTTGAACTCTATAACAATTTATAAAATTAAAAAAAAAATCCTTCTTTCTCATTATTTTGCCAAAATTATGCTGTTTTCTGAAGAACTGCAAAATTGAATTTTTCCACTTTTTAAAGTAAAAAGATTGGCAAAAACATACTCAGATACTACATCAACCCCCATCTTCGTCATGTAATATGTTCTTTTGTATTGTCTAAATTCGGTTTCAAATAGATCATCATCTTCAGTCTCATCTTCTAAATTATCTGGGGAAAAAGCCAGAAAGACAGTGACTGACAATTAGGAACATCCTGTTTTCAACTCAGTGGTTTGATAAATGCATATCAAATTTAGCACTTATAAATTAAGATAGAAATGTGCCCTCTTCAATATGACATTAGTATTAATAAAGGAAAGGTGTAACAACTATCCTGTCAAAGTAATATTAAAATAGTTTGTACTTACCCTTAGAAACTACCATTTCACCTTCACTTTTGTCTAAAGCAGCCCAACATACAGAATTTTCGTGGCCCTATAAAAATTATAAACTGTTATAAAATGGATGGTAAAGTAGAACTTAGAATTCAGGCCATTCAAAGATAGTTAATAAGTGATTCACACCAATATAAATGAAAATACATTTAATTATGTGTCCCACGAATAAACTTTAAGAATATCTTTTACTTAGAAAAAAGCATATCATCAATATAAAATTCTTTAATCATTTATCAACTTTAGGATATTTATATTAAATATGGGTTACTCAATACAATCTATTTGTTTGAATTCAATAGTTACAAATACCTATTATCTACGTCTCTGAATCCTGATATCCTGAAGACTATTCTATCTTCCACTTCATTCCTTTTCTATGCAAATTTCTGTATTTGCTTTTCTGTAATTCTTTCCATTGTGATCTTACTCTTATCTCTGTTTTCTGATGGCCTAGCTAAGACCAGAGATTCTCAGTTCTTACTACCTTATCTCCATTTCCTTTTCTTCATCCAATTTATGGCTTCTACCAACTTCATGTGCCCCAAGGCTTTTCCTGTACAACGTCTCTAATGTCAGGAAGACTGGTGAAGTTCAAGGACAGAGCTGAGTCCTTAAGACAGAGCTGTGACAGGAGTCACAGAATATTACATAAAATTTTATGCATTCAGGTCCTCAAAAAGTTGCAAAGCTCATTTTCTTAGGAGGAAACAAACAAACAAACAAATGCATGGTGAAATGTAGACTGACTGCTGCTAAATTCCAATAGAAGAGCAAAGTAATTGCTGCAGAAAACCTGGGTAGTTGCCGCTCCTGAAGGAAGTTACTAGGTTTGAAACTAAATAGAATCAATCAGTGCAGTAAAGTGTAGAAAACTTATCAGGATCCCTTAATTACTAATAGGCTAAAGAAATTTTCAGAAGTTTCTTTCTGAAGCTAACAGAAAGACATTCTTTAGAGCTTATTAGAAATGTTTTACAAGGCTGGGGATTGCGCTCTGTGGCACTGCGCCAGTCTTGCAAAGTATAAGGTCTTGCATTTGATTCCTGGTATCGCAAAAGAAAAGTTTTACGGAGCACTAGTATATTTTGATACTACCATTAACTTATTGAGCAAATAACATTTACCAGATATTGTATTGTTGATTATTCTTAACCTAGCCTATGCTATATTTTATGTAAAATCATTTCTAGAGAAAAATCACTGTTCTAGTTCTTGGCTCATACCATTAAATGCTATAAACATATACATTTATAAAACTAGTCTTTTGGTCCATTGTTTTTGTTTTTGGTACCAGGGATTGAACTCGGGTCCTTGTGCTTGCGAGGCAGGTTATGGAACCACTGAGCTAATCCCTGGCCCTGGTCCATCGTTTTTAAATAAAATGGTTTAAATGGTCATTTTTACAAAATAATTTTCTGAGCTCTGATATTTAGAAATGTTTCCAATACTTACTAATAAGATGGAAGAGCAAAGAAAACATAATGTTCTTTAAGAGTAAAAATAAGAGGGCCAGAGTTCAATCCCCAGTATTAAAAACAAAACAAAAAAAAAAGTGAGTAAAAATAAGAAACTGATTTTTAAGGATCAGATCTACATAATAGATTCTACTAGAGGAAAGAAGCCAAAACAATTTTTAGATGCCTACAGAAGAGAAGAAATGAAAATGGAATGAGGTAATCCCCAAAATTAAAAGGAAAATGAGAAACAAGAAATATCAGTTTTACCTTTACAGGTAAAAAAATGAAAGGACACCGAAAAAAATGGACACCTTTGATTTTTTCTTTTCCTTGTAGTTCTTGGCTTCTTCTGCTGCAATACCTGCTGCTTCATTGAGATATTTGTTACCAACTTTGCTTTCAAACCACTTTAGGTCCACAAAAACTTCACTGAAGTGCTCCCGATCAAACTGCACAAAAAAAATTAAAGTCATTTAAAAATGACTTAAATATACCTGAAGACTACAAATCAAACTTTTAAAAGTGATTATTTCCAGAGTATAGAAGAGTGTAGATTTTTATTATTTTATGTACACACTAAGGCCAAGGACCTCATCTTTTCTCAGAAAATTAAACACAAAAACCAAATAAAAATATAATTCATTTAGGTAAAGATATACAGAATAAATAGCTGGAATAAAATTATGAAGCCTTTTTTTTTTGGTGTTATTTAATTGGTTACTGACCATTTGTATCGACCTGAGAAAAGTAAAACAAAAACTTATGGTTACTTACATCAGATAGTTTTACAAGGTATTTCTCAAATCGAAGTAAATTGAGATGCCCACTTTCATTAATATAACCTACAAAGAGCAAAACCCAAATTTTTACTAAAAGCTGATATTAATTTTTCTAAACAAGTCTCCCAAATTCTTTCCACTAATTTTTAAGTGTTAACATTGTACTAATCAAGAAAAAACTGTTAGGCTATATATAAACTAGCCCCAGTTTCTAAAAGCCTTATATTACTATAATATATACTATGCACATTCTGAAGCAAAATATAAGAAATTCCAGGTTCACACAATAATCTTCTCACATTTCCAACATTTGGTAAAAATTAAACTACGTTCTAGGATCTAACCAGATCATTCAATTTAATATGTTAAGAAAAACACTAAAGTCCTGATAGTCTGTTGTCTGTTTTATGCAGCCTCACTATTGCTTGTTAATTTTCCATCTTAATTTAAATCCTTTGTTCATATTAAACAATGATACATATCCATTCACAATAACTGAAATTCTGCAATTAAATATGAAAGGAGTTAAGTGTAATAACAAGTTCTGCTGGCTTTCTTTGGGTAAAGACTAATTAAGTATCAATAAGTGAGGGTACTTAACTTTGGTCACTTACTTTCTTTGGGAATCACTGAAAATGACATCAGTGTTTGGCACTTAAGACTGAAAGAACCCCCCACTGTTCACCTACTTTAGTTGTGCCTGTAATAATCTAATAAAGTAAGTGACATATTTAGGGTATTAAATTTAAGTAGCCTCAAATACATATTAAAGTTTTCTTACCCCCAAGTTCAGGCAGGATAGTAATATATGTTCCATAAAGAAGAGGCAGTGCATCATGATTAATATGTAAGTGAGGTAGATGAGGGATAAAATCATTGCCAACAAGAAATCCCATCAAAATCCAATCATCTATAATTCTTTCAATATCATATTTAAATGTGATATTTTCCTGTGGCAAAATGGAGAAACAGTGAAATCCTGTGAAAACTTCTGAATATAAAATCTTGGTCCATGGCCACATTAGTACTTACTTTTAATACTGAAAACTCATAGTCAATATACTCTCTCATCAATGACAAATGGAGGAGGTGAAATGTGGTTTCTTCTGGTGCACACACCCTGTAATTAATCAAATGATCAAAATGGAGTGAATTATATTTTTAAGGTCATTAGGAAATAATTAAGTTATGTAATTAATATAAAAGTTACAGCATAATATAAAGATAAAATACAACTATAATAGATGAAACACGGTAAATTCAAAAGAATTGGTTTATATTATGCTTTTTATGAGACGGCTCTCAGAATTCAGAAACCCTAAATAAAATATAATAAATGTAAGAAACCAGTGGGATATGGCCTATGTAAGGCTGGCCAATTGCAAATACACATAGAAGAGTGAGTACATATTTTTATATTTATTGCAGTATAGTTTAGGGTCACAGTAGTGATGTAATATTATTTGTTCCTCTTATCTGGATTGGTATAGGGTTCTTTATTCCTGATAATTGATCCATACTCAAAGTTTAAGTAAAACATAAGAATACAAAAGCATATTAAACAGATTATACACCACTCACAAACAAGATTTATCCCAAGAATACAAATGTAACTCAACACAAGAAAATTAATCAATGTAATATACCATATTAATAGAATGAAGGGGAAAAAATACCATGTGGTCATTTTGCAGAAAAAGCATCCAACAATATTTAACACTTTCCCATGATAAAAATATCTGGCAAGGCTGAGCATGGTGGTGCATGCCTGTAATCTTAGCACTTGGGAGGCTGAGGCAGGAGGATTGCTTTGAATTCGAGGCCAGCCGGGACTATAGGGATAAACTATCTCAAAAAAACAAAAACAAACAACAACAACAACAACAACAACAAAAGATCAAAAAACAAAAGTCCAAACTCTGGTTAAAGTTATGGTCAATTTTCTTAATATGATAAAATCCATAGTTATGTTCAACAGTGAAAGTTTTCTTTCTAAGATTAGGAAACTGATAAGGATGCCTACTTCACAGCTTTTTAAAACACTAGTGCTAGGAGGGCACAGAGGTATGCATATATCTGCTATCCCACCTACTCTTGACCCTGAGCTTTGCAACACAGTGAGATGGGGAAATCTCAAAAAGCCAAGAAAAAGGGTAGGGTTGGAGTGAGACTGTAACTCAGCTGTTGAGCAATTGCCTAGCATTGTCCTGGTTTTGATTCCGAGCACTGCAAAAGAATAAAACCAAAACAAAAATACCACAGCTTTTCAACATTATTCTGAAAAGTCTTAGTAGAGCAATTAGGCAAAAAAAGAAAAAAAAAAGAAAAGAAAAGTAAAACTGTACCTATTTACCTATTTACAGATGTCATGATTCATTGTATAGAAATTTAGTGGAATAAAAAAAATTCTAAGAGCTAAAAAACTAATTTATCCTATCTGTAGGGTATATGATCAACACTCAAAAAATCAGTTGTATTTCCATACACCATCAGAAAAAGAAATTACATGATTCTATTTTCAAAATTAACCAAGGAGCTAAAATTTATACAGTGAAAACCACAAAATGTTATAGCAAGAAAAGGAGACACTACAATGGAAAGACATCTTGTGTTCATGGATTTGAAGATTTAAGATCAAGATGCCCAGTGGGGCCTGGCATTTAGTTCCATGGCTCTGCCGGCTGCTTTGCAAATGGAAGGTCTAGTTTGATCCCCGATACCAAAAAA